TTCTGTCTGGAGGTGGAAGCTAATAAACGCAACAGAACTGTATTTGCATTGTCTCTTGGAGTTCTTTGGGCTGAACCTGTCATCTAGTTGGGTCATGAAACGTCTGCCAGCCACCCACCAAACTCCGAGAGTATCAAGGGCTCCACATCAAAAGGTTGTCTATCCTTAAGGACCAGGTTCTTAACCGTTAGGGGGGGCCAAGGAAACATCCCTTTCCAAGATCTTGAGGTCACACATTCATATTTATTCTGAAGTAGAAGTTTGCTCTATGGCCAGCTCCAAGTTTGGGTTTCTCACAGCTGTGTAGCTCAACCTGACATTATTCCACGACTTGGATTCCTGGGTAGAGGTTGGGGCTGCGTTGCATGGACTAACACCACTTTCTACCTCTAGGGCAGCCAACGTGTCTCATTTACCTGGAGATGCTCTTCTATGTCCTTCCGGTCATAAGTGATCCCACTCGGCGTAATGCAAGGCTCACGCATCAATTCGAAGCTGATTTTCCCACACAGGTAATCAGGGATGTCCCGTTTCTGGCCCAAAAGAAGAGAACAGCACTCTGTATTTCCAACTCAGCACCAATCTTCTAAATTACAGGTTCTCCACCATTTTCATTTTCTAAGAATGCCTCTTGAGTATATTATTATTATTAGATTTTTATTCATCCATCCATCATCTGTCTCAAGGTGGTGAACATACCCAATACTCCTTTCTCCTCCTGTTTTCCCCAGAACAACAACCCTGTGAGATGGGTTGGGCTGAGAGTGTGTGACTGGCCCAAAGTCACCCAGCTGGCTTCCATGTTTTTCATATACATGGAACCCCCAAACTATCATGGAAATAACAACAATGGCACAGTGCAGCGTGATCACTTTCTGTTACATTTTGTTTCCCTGAATTCAATGATGTCCAAAACATTTATTTACTACATCGATACCACCTTAGCTAAAAACCTCCAGGGGGAAATCCAGTGTTGGCATCGTCCAACAAGCATCAAGAAGATTCTGGGCACACTGGCACCCAGATGCCACTTTGAGGACTTAGGTTCTGAAGTAGCTATAAGGCAACTCAATATTCTTCAACTCAGACCACCAATGGTAAGAGTTGACATCCAGCCAACCCAGAAGACATCAGTTCAACCATGACCTCACCTTCCGCTTCTCATCCACCTGGGAGAAGAGTTCATCCATGTCTGCTAGATATTTTTCCTGAAAGAGAAATGGGGCCCTTTAGCATGACCTGCCTGCTCCTTGCCTGGCCATCAATCCCAACGCAAGAAAGTCTTGGATGGCTTTCAAAAAGGACTGGATAGATTCCTGGAGGACGTTCCGTCTTGAAGACCCCATGTTACCTCTGGGCTGGGGGCTGTGGCTTCCAAATATCCATTGCAGGGAGAGGCCTCCTGTTTGCAAGCACCCCAGAGGTATCTGGTGGACCACTTGGAGAAGCAACACTGTCCTTTGGCTACATGACAGTACTGCAGAATAGCAACTTCTCAAAGGCCTTTGGGAGCCAGATTCTTCTGGGGGGCAGGAAGAGCACACAACTCTGGGACTGTCAGCCCTTCAAGGTTGTCCAGACCAGAAAACAGACTCCACAAGAAGACTAGATCTAAGCTTTATTGAGATGGGCTATAATAGCAGAACCTTGCCAGTCTGACTGTGGCAAGACTGTGGCCATCCTCTTCTTCTTATACCCCAGTAAGTCAGGGAGAAGTCAGCCTGGATCTCTTCCTAATACTGCACTCTCTCCCTTCCTAGGACTTGAATGCTTCACCCCTCTGCTGACATAATACTTGCTGAATATTTGCTTCAAGGCCCTCTCCCTGGCATTCTCCAGGGACATCCCTGAACGAAACAGATCCCTAACTGACCACCTTAGGCTGACACAGGAGGAGAGCTGTGTTGGTCTGTGGTGGGAAAAAAGCAGGAGTTTGGTAGCACATTTTCCGACTAACACCTTTTCTTGAAAGGCATCAGCTTTCGTGAGTTGTGTCTGGCTTCATCCGATGCAACCAATGAACCGAGCTGTGTCAGATGCAGAGACAGCCAGCTCGCAAACGCTGATGCCTCTTCACAAAACCCACCTTCGGCCAAGGAACACCACAATGCAAGCAATGCCCGTCGCTGCCAAGTCAAGGGCAGGGAAAACTGTCTGCGCGCCCCACGAGGGGACAGGAGAAGCAGCTTTGCTTGCTTCTGATCCAAAAAGCCCAAAGGCATCATTGAGTCCCATGGAGGTCCCACAGCAGAGGGGAAAACCCAACAAGGGGTCCTCACGTGTTTGGCTCTGATGTTGGCCAATTGTGCCCGGCTCCGGTTTTCATCCATGTTCTCCTCCTCCTGTGCCCGTTGACATTCGTCGAGTTCCCTGGAAGAGAAGCAAAGTGCAGGGAGGGGGTGAGAGAGGGGAGGCCATGTGGCTGTCCCAAAAGAGAGCCTCTTCTGTCATGGTGCCTGCCTCTGGAACATCATTGCCCCAGAGATCAGACTTGCTCCAACCTTACTGGCTTCCCGTAAGGCCTCAAAGACCTGATTTTGCTACTGAGCCTGGGGCCTTGGGTGTGTGGTAGAGCCCATATTGTGGTGAAGTTGTGTGTTGGTTGGTTTTTACCTTGGCTGCTGTAGACGGGTCAGCCTTCCCAGGTAGACCAGACAGGACACATGACCAGATGAGCTAATTCTACTTTATTATAAGGCCATATTAACAGAATCTTGCAAGTCTGAAACTACAAATTTCCCACCGTCTTCTTTGTAGCCTGAGAAGCTAGGAAGGGTCCCTTCTGAGCCTCTTGCTCTGCCCATTATGCAGCTGCGGGCTATTCCCTCTCTTATCTGACCATTCCCTAGGCAGCATCTCTTCGCCCCATTTCTCAAGGTCTTTCTCACATACCATTACAATATGTTATTTATTATTTTATTGTGATGTTTTTATCTTGCTTTTATTCACTGTTAGCTCCCCAGTCATGTATTTGAGGTGGGTGGCCTTTAAATAAATGGATGGATGGATGGATGGATGGATGGATGGATGGATGATAGATAGATAGATAGATAGATAGATAGATAGATAGACAGACAGACAGATAGATAGATAGATAGATAAAATAAGAGAAATGTCTGCTGCAGGGAAATGGGTTCTCCACTTTTTTAGCCACCTTCCCCCTCTTTTGGTCCAAGAAAAAGAGTACTAGCCACCTCACCAATTTGCTGATCAATCGGATAAAGCAGATGGAAATACCTTCAGCGCTTGCAATGAGCTATCTAAATGCTCACAGTAAAGCAAAAACTCTCTTCAAGTTAGTTTAATTCCTGGGGAACCATGTCGCTTTCTTTGGCCACCATGTGGACATGTTCTGTCGGTACTTTCTGTTTACAAGTGACATGCCTGGGATGTCCTAATTCTCTCCCCTCCAACTACTAACCACTTCTGACCCTCCTTAGTTTTTCAGCCTCAGCCAAGATCACTCAGATCCTGCCACCCAGCAAGTTGTATTAATGCTATCTTTATTGGATTTATATCCTGTTTTCATTCAGCATCCCAAGATGGCCTATCATAGCATTCCTCCCTCCTGTCTTCCTGCACAGCAACAACCTTGTGAGGTGGGTTGGCTGAAAGAAAAGGATGGGTTCAAAGTCTTCCTTAAGGGCCACCGGTCAACAGGTGCTTTCCCACCTATCACCGGGTCCCGTGCTTTCTCACAGAGTCCTTCTATCCACGCCCAAACCCTCTTCCCCATACCTACCTCTCCTTCTCTGCCATGATGAGTTTGGTGAGATAAGCATGCAACTCGTTCTCCTGGTTGATCCGCTTCTCCTCGATGTTGTTCCAACGCTTTTTCTTGGCGATGCGCAGGGCGCTCGGAATGTCGTCCCCAAAGTTCAGCCGTTGCTCTTTGGCTAAGTTGTGGGCTGAAAATGTAACGCAACAAATTCACTGCAACGGGAATGGCACGCAACAAACAGGAGCGGAAAAACAAGTTCTCCTAAATCTGCCACATATCCACACACCCGGCCTATTCTTCGCACATTCAGCTACGGTGTCCACAGCCCAGCTTGACAGATGCAAGTTCTCGGTTTAAGCTGCTCTCCCCAAACTGACATCCTCCAGGGGTGAACTACAGTTCCCATATGCTGCAGCCAACTTGGGCTATGACTACCCAACCCATCCTGGGGCAGCAGAGTGGGGAAGGATGAAGGAGGGGACCCAGAAGCAGCAGCTACGTGAGACAGACGCACGAACAAAGTCCGAAGCTCCAAATTTCACCCTTCAAATAAATGTCTCTCTACCTCCCCTTCTCTGAGAACTTCTGAACCGTCTTAGGAAAAGGGTTTTCTGCAAACAAGATCAGGGTGTGAGGGCGGGGAATCAGGAGGGCTGGAATACTTTTTAGAATGAAAAGCAGAGTTGGGAATTTAGAGACAGTTAGTCCATCTGAAGTGGGCCATTTTAAGTGGCTGAAATTATACCCCATGAAGAGACAGGTAGGAAAGAGACTCTTGGCTTTAGAAACTGAAGTTGCCTTTTGTGAACCTCAGGTCCACACACTTCCTTGCTCTCTCTCCTGCCTGGAAAAAGGAAATTTGTGGGATTTTAGTCCTTAAAAAAAAAAAAAAAAAAGCAAACATGCATTTTCTTATGTATAAATAATATCTGGGCTGCAGGTATGGTTTTCAGGAGGTCTCAGCTTAAGGGAAGATAAACTCTCAGAGTCCATTTGGAATTTGAGAGGGGGCAGTAGGGGCATTCACAAAACGGCTATTGCAACGGCACCCAACCTTCCCAGAAAGGGGCGCAAAGGTATTGCTGCAAATAGATATGGGGGTGAGGTGTGCTTTATTTCACAGCAGACCAACTTTCCACTTCATGTTTTTAATTAGAATAGTACTTCTGAACAGCTGTACAAAGCAGAGAAACTCGCAGGCAGCAAGGACCATCTCTGGGAAGGGGTCCAGTGGTGTTTGGGAACAATGCATGCTCCCTTTCCTGCTCTTTCCAGCTGTGGGTTGCTGACTCGTTTTAAAGTGTATTTCCAAGTCAGCCAGAATCTGTAACCATGGTTGGCTCTACCACACCGCTAATCACAGCAAATTCGCACAACTTGGATCTTGCGGGAACAGCTGGTCTACCCAAAGGTGCAATTTTTTTTTTCCTGAACCAAAAGCTTGACTCAGAGACCCCAGGATGGACTCCCTGCCCCACACATGGACCCACCCACCCTCCCCGCTGATGATTCAGCACAGGAGAAAAAGGTCTTCATCCAAGGCAGGAAGAGGAGGAGTGCGCTTCCCTGCCCATTAGAGATGCTCGGGGTCTCTGTCTGAAGGTCAGCCCTGATCCCCAAATTCTTCCCCCGGATCAAAACACCCGCTTAACAAAGAAGTCTTCCAGCCAAGGAGTGCACAGAAGAAAGCAGTTAAGTAGAGAAATTGGAGCTTTAGGATAAGAGGGACAGCAGACAGACTTGTGGGGTAGGTAAAACCAGTTACTGTTTAATGAGTTTCTTTCTCCCACATTTAGCTTCCTGGCTGCTGTTGTTTTCATCCAGATTTACCTCAACTTGTTAAGAGAGAGGAAAAAAAGATTTGCTTGATTCCCAAATCTCTCTTCCAGCATCCTTGAAATTTACACTCTGCACACTGAAATACAGGTAGCCCTTGACTTATGACCATTCAAAGTTATGACAGCGCTGAAAAAAGTGACTTACGACTGGTCCTCACACTTACAACCATCACAGCAGCCCTGCGGTCACGTGATCAAAATTTGGGCACTTGGCAATTGGCATTTATGATGGTTGCAGAGTCCCTGGGTCATGTGATCACCATCTACGACCTTCCCAGCTGGCTTCCAACAAGCAAAGTCAACGTGGAACCACATGATTCACATAACAACCACGTGATTCACTTAACGACCACATGATTTGCTTAATGACCACCACAAAAAATGTCATAAAATTGGGTGCTGTCACGTGATACCTCACTTAATGACTGCACCGCTTAATGATGAATTTTCCAGTCCCTATTGTAGTCATAAGTGGAGGACTACCCATAGAGGCTCTCTTTCTATTCCTGAACCCTACTTTTTATTTCTCGATGATGATGATGATGATGATGATTCTGGCTGCACAAGACCAAGCCTTAAGAACCAACGCATATAAAACCAGAATTGAGAAGACAGCAACAGAAAGCAAATGCTGCCTCTGCAAAGAACCTGAAGAAACAGTTGAGCTCCTAATTAGCTGCTGCAAGAAGATCACTCAGACTGACTAGAAACAACAGCATGACAAAGTAGCAACAATGGTGCATTAAAATATCTGCAAGAAATACCATTGGCCTGCAAGCAAGAACTGGTGGGACCACAAAACAGACAGTAATAGAAAATGAAGAAGCTAAAGTGCTCTGG